AACTCTGAAAAACTGTTTTTCTAGAAAACCAGGTCTTCAAGAGCCAAGGGGATGAATCCTTTTAGAGTTTTTATCTACACTATGAGTCCTACCTATGAGCAGAGTATGAGTTCAAACAGAGGGTATCAGTTGGTGAGGTTCCCTCGTAAGTTTAGGAAGAATAGAAGATAAAGTCGACGCCGAACCTCTGATGGAGCTAATCCGAAGACACGACTCAGTGCAGGCAGCTTGCGCCGACAAGCAAGAGCAGTATCACTAGCATGTTCATCCCATCTAAGATCGTGCGAAACAAGAACACCAAGACAACGAACAAAAGACACACCATAAAGAGGGACATTACTGAGATACAGTTGATTGTAAACAAACGGAAAAAGATCAAAAAAAAACGAAGCCAAGAACATTTGACACATTGAGAGATATAAGATGAGTAGAAGATCAATTAGCAATACAGTTTATACAGCTTTGAACATGAGCACACGGAGAAGTCAAGCTGTCTATTCGTGGTTGGTAAGCAGTGGTAAAGGGAGGAATTTGACCCTGAAGAGAAAAACAGCAGGAAGAAAAGTGAGAGTTGAAGAGTTCAGCTTTTTCCGCATCTGTAGAAACAGATGTGAACCCTAGAATAGAGATCTACACGGGCATGGGAAGGCTTGAGAAAGACACGGACGGGCATGAACGAGCAATTGCTCTCGTCGACGGGCACGGATTTCTAAAAAAAAGTATTTTAAAGTTTTTGGACAGCAAAATGGTACGAAGATTTGAATTTTTGAATTGAAAATTTTTTTTCTCCACGAGCACGGGCAGCGAAAAAAATCCATAGACGGGCACGGGCAAAAAAACCTTGCCCGAGCAGATCTCTGCCCTAGAAACATAGACGGAGGTAGAGAGGGATGGGCAGAAGACAATTTTTGGATGGAACTCCAAAACTTGCGTGGATTAGAAAATAGAGAGAAACGAGAACGAAGATAAGAAGACTTTTCACGACGACAGGGCGAAAGAACAAGATTCCTTGCTTTATGAAACTTGGCAAGATATGAAGAAGTATAACGACGTTTAAGTTCCTGAAAACGTCGGTTACGAATAGAAATCAGATGTGCAAGTTTAGGAGAAGACGAAAGAAGAGAAGACAGAGTACGAAAAGGTATCAGCGGGACGAATCTACGGATAGCATCATTTACGTGCTCAGTCCAGATGTGGACAGCCGCATCAACATCAACGGCCGTATAAGGACCATTGGGTATAAGAGAAAAGGAACGTCGTAGTTCAGACCACTGGGCTTTTTTAAAGTTATAACAGTAAGTAGGAGAGGAATGAGGCTAAACAGGTACATCAACAGTAGCAGATAAACAGAAATGAGGAGAACAGCCAACAGGAGGAAAGGATGAGAAAGCTACATTATACCAGGATGAAGGATAGAAAATATACAACAACACAAGATGAGGAGAAAGAGAAGAATACTCACAGATAAAATTATCAAGACCATCGAGAAAAAAACCAATAGGAACAGATTGTGAACGATAACCGCTGCAAAGGAGAAACTAATCGAGAACGAATGTACAAGAATTAGAAAAGCTTCAATAGAGTCCGAAACAGCAGTTAAAGAAGACTAGAGAGAGGAGATGTATGTCGCAATAGTTCCTCCTCGTCGATTTCGATCACAAAGAATGAGAGAGTAACCCAAGAGAGTCATCTCTTCATCACTGGTTGTTGAGTCAAGATTCGTCTCTTGAAAAGAAAAGATGTCAAACTCACTGAAAGAAAAAGAGTTTTTGTCTGTAATGAAGCCAAAGTTTTTTTCACAAGACTTTGGATTTATGCGAAAAGATACGAAGTTTGTGAGAAGTTGTAAAGACATTTTTATCAGTATAATTTTTACTAATAACATTCGATGAATGTTGTTCTTGATTATTCCGTCGTTGTCGAGTGTCACAGGCTTGTTGAGATTGTTGCTTAGTCAAACGTTTACCGATGTAAACATTTTTGACCCAATCATCGAATGAGTTTCAGATTCCTGACGCTTTTGAAAGGATCACCGGCCGAATGAATAAATCGTTGAAAGAGACACCAGGAAGTGACGGCCGAACGTTGTTTGTTGTTGACGACGTTTTAAATCACCACACCGAATCGATAGATGAAGAACAAATGTCGACACCAAGATGATCCTGAACGAAACGAGAGACAACTTCTCTGTCGTTTTTCCCTTCAACCAGTGACAAATTCTTGACGATGATGTTTCTTCGTAGCCCCTCTCGTTCAAGATTTTCGTTCAGTTCATCGAGATGATCGACAAGTTGAGCTTCCTTACAGCTAATGTTTGTCGTTTCGCGTTCAACTGTATTGATTCGCGCAGATAACGTTAGAAGACAACTAGGTGGAAGACGATCGACGGATTTGTCATTCAAACACTTTGGTCAAAACCAGTTCGAAAACTGTTTCTGGTACGCAGATGTTTGACAAGCCGAATTCGCCACCGAAGAAACGTCCACTCGTGCAACATGAAACCAATTTTCACATGCATCACGTTGCAGAGCGTGGTCATCGTCATTCACAACAGCCGTACAAGAGCAGACAGCTGGTAATTATGAGTCACCGAGCTTTGGAGAATCATGCGTTCTGCTCGCTTATTTCCCATTATAACGAGCGAGAAAAATTAGATAAGACGACGAGAAGAGTAAGCAATCAGTAATAAAAAAACAAACAAACACACAAAGCCAGCTGTATCTGAAAGTATAAGAGGTTTCGCAAATGCTCGACCTCTTTAAATGTGTATATAATATAAGCGATTCCAAACACAGTCTATTCTCATACTTCTAACTTTTCTTTTTGAATAGACAAAGCACTAAACTTTCAATAAAATATCCAACTTCCTTTTAGTCAAACTTTCGATTATTTACCTTTTTCTGGTTC